CTGGTAATTGTTTTTCTGTCAATAAAGGGAACATATTGGTCAGAAAGGTTTCCTCTAGAGATTCAGTTATGATGAATCGCAGGAATTCAGTTTAGGCTTCTATTTCTGAATCAGTCACAGAAATTCCGTTTGAGTTTATGGTTTAAGTTTTCCATGTGATTTCTTTTTCTTTTTCATTGCTCCACCACCCACCGCAGAATTCAATTTCTATTGGAAATTTACCAAAGTTGTAAATAATGCTTGGTTATGCGTTGAGGTTATCAAATGTAATTGCGTGTTCTAAGAGCATTTATCTATTAGACATTTAATGATTCACAAAAAAACAACGAAACTCCAATTGTGCATCAACAATAAAATATATATTGAAACAATAACATACAAAACAATCATGCAATGGTATGTAGTAATTAACTGTATTCTGAATAAGATTGAATGTTCGAAAGAATTTCTCTTGGATAAGAATGTTCAGGATTCTATGTTGAATAGAATCTGATGTAGAAAGGAATACATTTAATTAAGAAGTGTATTGTTTTGAGAAATTAATAGAGTGCTGGTTTGTGAACTTGGCTTAGTCACAGAGAAGAAGAATAGTGTAATGTGATACAAAAATCTGTGTCTGTGTGTGCGTTGTGAGCAAAGTCGTGGATTTGTGTAGACAGGCGTAAATAGCTGGACTCTACTGACTGTTATGGAAAATATTGCTTCTTTTAAGGCTGCTGGTAGGCTCCAGCGAAAATGCGGGAGAGTAGATTCAGCAAAAAATGTTTGAATGGTTAAAATTCAACCAATCACTGATTTTGTAACAAAGACATGTGTGAGGAAATTCAAGGCAGAAAATTTCAAAGTGGTGACTGCGATTGCTAAATTGTCTTATGGAAAGGCAGTATCTATTTACTAGCCAATCGCAGATGAATAAATTGCGGGCTTGGAAAGCGTAGCAATCGCTACAAAGTGGTTAAACACTTTCGTCATGTTTGAGACAGTGATATATAAGCAAGTATAGTCGCGTCGTCAAAGGACTTTGATGCCCTGGTAATTTTGTGATTCGATACACAAAAATCTGTTGCCTTAATATGAAACAGTGCGAAAGTTTCTTTCTCTTCTCGACTCGATTGACCCTCAACCACTGTCTTCTGCCATTCCAAAATAACAAAGCGTTGGGTGTTAGATCGTCATGTGATTAGTTTGTAAGTTTGATTGGTTCGTGTTTGAAAATTTGATCTCTTTTGAAATGTGAAACCTTCTTCTGTTGTGAGTACGAAATAATAATAACTCCCTTCACCCACTCCCTTCAAATTCGGAGGAAAGCGGAAGAAGAAGGAAAGAAATTCGTGAGCCTATGTAAGATGTTTGCCTTTCATAGAAATTAACAGAGAGCCGAAAATAAGAAGTGAAAAATGTAGCATGCCTACACCAAATTCTTTTTTATATGAAATAAAGAGAAAATTAAATTAATGAGAAGTTTTTGGTTCAGTTCCTCGCAACCAGCGGTGAAGTACTCACCTGTGTAAACTTACTCGCCAATTATAGGCCACTAGCAAGCATGTGGAATTTCAAAGATTTTTCTATTAACAATCCAAGGAAGCCAAATATTTAAAATTATCTCTCTTCGTCTACTTCCGAAGGTATGCAAACCCCATATCCCATTCGGTAATCAACGAACTCTCTTACCTTTGTCTTATTATTTTGTATCCGATAATTTAATCCGTTGTATGAGCATTTCCTCTTCATGACAATACGTTTAAACTACGGACTTTAAGAATTCTTGATTTACTTTCCTGAAAAGAGTTACTGACACTTCTTATAAAAATTTAACTTCCGACCAAATCCTAAATTCTTGTGCTAAGCACAAAAACCTAGTTAATTAGGAATAAAATGAGAAAAAGTGATCGTGTGCTTCTTTTCTTCCTAAAGTTAAAATAGACACAAATAATAAATACGACTCAACCATTGCACAAAATCTCAAAGAAAAAAAACATTTATTACATTAGTATAGACTAGACAAAAAAGTACAAATACAAAATTTGCACAAAAATTTCCTTTTTGCGCATCTGGGCAGGATAACAATTTTTGATATGTTACAAAAAAGGATTATTATCGAAAATGAAAAAGGGATTACAATTTCGAAAATGACAAAAAAAAAGCACATTCAGAAAAGGCAAAAAAAAAGAAAGGTGCCACGACTTTTGGAAAAAAGGAAAAAATATTTTTACTTATCAAACGAGCGTCTCTGGAACATAAAGCAATTTTTTAAATGTCTTTTTTAATATTCACATATTTTTTTACTGAGGCTTTTGTGAAATTTTCTTTGATTTTTTTTTCGTGGTTTGTTGTCCAACCTCAACAGAATTTTCACTTGTGAACTTCAAAATTCCTTAGACACTCTATGTGTGGTTTGTAACCTTCTGCTTTCTCATCTGAATGGCTTGATATCTAGTTGCTCTCTTTTTGATGTCAAAGTGCCTTTTGAAGTTATTTGTTCACCGGAGTTCTTTTATATAAATAAAAAAAAAGAAAGAAAATAAAAAAAAGAAAGAAAGAAAATAAAAAAAAAGAGGATCACAGAAGGCTCTATCCACGATTTAACAACGGCCAAGTCTCTCAATGGCCAAAAAATACGAAAAAATTCCTTTTTGGAAATTAAAAAAAATGCTTCCTAAACACTGAGCCTATACATGTAACAATTTTTTCACAAAACATCTGGCTTTCTTAAAAATACAGTTCTCAAAAAAAAAAAAAAAAAAAAAAACATGTACAAAAAAAAACACCCTAGACGATTAAACATTTATTTAAGATTAACTCTATTTTTAAAGTAATAACTTAGGTATATACTTCAAGTGTGTAAATTCGAAAATGAATTCCTTATCTTGTCTTGTTACAATTAACCGTGTATTACTTTGTCATTATCGTCCTTCATTAATATTTTTGGCGTGAGTAAATCAACTGTTCATTTTAAACCCCAAAGCCCCACGCTACTATACTTCCTAATCCATCAGGCTCCGTCCCTTTGTGTGACTTATCACGCCCTTCAGCTGTCTAAGCTCCTTCTACCTTGAAATTTGATTACATTCTGATTCTTATCTGCTGACCCTTCTCTTTATATAAGAAATCGGAGGGGCTCCAGCAAGACAAATATGAACTTCAAATTTTACGAGGTCGTAAGCCCACGATGTTGATTAGACAATAAAAAGAAATAGTACTTTTTTTTTAATTCAAAAAGTGAATTTGACCGTCAATTCTAAAAATAGGAATTTTTACAAACACAATGTAACAATTTTTTATAAACCGTCTGACTACAATTCTCTAAAAAATTAAGTGTAAGACAAACCTAGACGATTAATTTAATTTTAATATTATAATATTTATTTGTTTATTTACTTTTTTTAATTAGATATTATTTTTAATTATTTCATATTATTAATTAATTATTTTTATAACATCAGTCCTCCTTTTTAGCAGTGAATGCTGGATAATCTCCTCAAACATGAAAGAGAAACTTGATGAAACAGAAATGCAGTTCTATGATGAGATCATAAGCAGAATGGACTGCTGAACTGAACACTTGAGTAATAATGAGGATAAAAGAAGCAAAAAGGACGCTTATACTTAGAATCAGAAAGAGAAAATTTAAATGTCTCGGACGCATAATAAGGAAAGAGGGCTTGGAGAATTTGGCACTCACAGAGCGTATTGAAGGCAAGAGGGGCAGTGAAACAGCGAGCATCCGACTTAACGAGCTTCTTCTTCTTGTGTAATAAATTGAAACAGAGTGAAGGACAAGCCTTACTAAGAACTACAAAAGATAGGAAGTTGTAGAGAAGCAAGTGCAACATTTACAGATTTCGCAATTGCTTGGAAACGAAGAGCAGAATGAAATCACATGCTGAGAGCATTATTGTTTTTATCATTTTTTCAATGAAGTCAATTTATTGTACAAGGAATTTAAACTGGGCTCCCCAATTTTATAACGTTATAAATAATATTTGTGATCTGGATTGCTTAATCTATGTAATATGAAGAAAAAAATTAAATAAAAGGTTATTTCTGGTCTCCGTGTATATTCGAAAACTTCACTAAAAGTGTTATTTAATTTACACATTTTTTTATGCCCTTTAACTACAGAGTTGGTGCTTGCATGACAACTTAGTGGAACTCTTCTTTTGTAAGATAAAAATAGACCAGTAAATATGGCAGATCACTGTGTTGAATTGTCCGACACAGGACAGTTATATAAAGGTTTTAGGAAATCCAGCAAGACTTTAAGAATGCAAAATCAGCTGAAAGTTGCTAAACTCTCTAATAGCAAATCTGTTTCCTCTTTCTTTGGTTCTGTGTCGGTTTCTCAACCAGATAATCAGACTTCTACAACGACTGGATCAGAATGGTTCAAAGATAACGACGACAATATTTATTTTCGCTATCAGTCACAGTCTTCTCTTCCAGATTTTACACAAAGCTCAAATTTAATGGTTGCTAATAATAAATGTGGATTCATTAAGGCGAGTGCTCTTCATACTGTGATATCTAAAAAACACAATGGAGTAAACACAAAGTCCCCGACTAAAAACTTTCACCACTTTGGTAATTGCACCCAAACTCAATTAACAACGGACTGTAATTCTGATTTTTACCAATACCCCGAAGCCACAGGACACCAGGTTCTAACAAACCCTTTCCTTTTTACTTCACTGAAAAATCCTGTTCGTCCTTTACCACTGCCTAAACGGACGAAAAAAAGCTGCATCCCTTTTCAAAACAAAGGTAACTGTTCAGTCGCTTCAGTCCCGTACAAGAAAAATAAAACATTATCACTCGCTGTTTTCCCGCCGCATTCAAAGAAGAAAAAAGACCAAATTAAAAACCAAAGTAGTATTACCAGTTTTATTAAAACTTCAGCTAGGGAAAAGAACTCGAAATTAAGTGCTAATAAAGAGGAACTTTGTAAAAAAAAGATCTCATCTCGACCAGACTGCCGCTCGAAAAGAAAAGTTTGTAAGAAAATGGCTTCAAACAACGGCTCTCGGGCAGTGTTGGCGTCAGCTACCGAAAATGCGTCTGACAGCGAAGAAATGCAAATTCCCAATTTGACAAAAGACCTATCGTCAAGTAGTGACGAAGAAAATCCAGAGGATTATAATTTGTCTAAAGTTTACTTTGGTCTTTTCGGGAGTAATCTTCCTGAGATATCAAAAGGCGAAGACTACTTTCAGAAATTACCTGATGAAATAAAGAGAATTATATTTTGTCAGTTACCTTCGAACCATTTATTCGATATTTGTCCTAAAGTTTGTCGCGATTGGCAACGCATTATTTACGACAGAAAGGTTTGTCATTAATTAACTTTCTTTGTTTATTTAAATCAAATAATGTAGACTTCCAAAGTTGAAAAATATATACTTAAAAATGTAAATTGTATGGGAAAATAAAGCATTTCTTGTCATTTCCAATTTATGAATCTTCATACGATAGACTTACTTAAAAAAAAAAACAGTTGTCAACTCAAACACGTATATATGCACTTTAAAAAATTTACTTTTTCAACTTTGGTGTTAAATTAAAAAAACAATAGTATTACTAGTTTAATTAAAACTTCAGCTAGGGAAAAGAACTCGAAATTAAGTGCTAATAAAGAGGAACTACCAGACTGCCGCTCGAAAAGAAAAGTTTAAGAAAATGAAAATAGAATGTGCCTTTTAGTTATCATCGATTTCAAACAACTCTCGGGCATTGTAGTCAATTACCGAAAATACATCTAACAGTGAAGAAATGCAAATTACCAATAGAAAAAAAAATTCCACTAAAAATGCTATCGTACATCATTTGTCCTTGATTTCTTCATCATTCATATTATTATAATTTTTTTTTTATTTCTCTCTACGAACATTCTCACAACATCTGCAAAGTTAAAAAAAAAAAAACATATCTAAGAAAAATTCGTTACATTGGCAACCCAGCTCTTCACAAATGTGGTTAATTTGAAAAATTTAAACTTAATAAAATTTTAAAATAAATAACCATGAACAAATCAACGAGATTTTTGTACAAATATTTTTGAAATACGTTGGGGATTTAATTATAATTAAAAATATAATTTATGATGATAGGCCGAGGCGTCAAGGAAAATATAGAATTTAATAAAAAATCTTAACGTTTTCAGCCAGTATTTCAGTATTTTCCTTAAATATTCTCTCAGCTAAAAAAGGGGTAACCATTATTTCCTTAGACTTTTTTCTTTTTGCGTTGAGAACACTTGTACAGATAAAACTTGTGACAACAAAGCAAAAGTTTTTTAAACGTCCAACTGTTTTCATAAATTCCATAATTCATAGTTGAAATAGTTGCATATTCTCCACCAGTTGATATTCTAGTCAAAAGAAAAGTCAGAATTTGAATGCTGATTTCTTTTAACAGGCAGGCTCTCATACTTGTAAGATTGTCCATATTATTCTACTTCAGTTCCTTCTCATCCAACCCTCATTTGCACAAAGTAAATGGAAGTGGAGTGAATAAAGAAATTATTTTCCTAAATCTTGCCATAGTAAGCTAATCACAAACTATGCTATTATCACTACTTTGAATTTCCTCTTCTCTAAGCACCCTACATTATGTCACATTAAATCTCAATTTAAAAACTGTAAATGATGACTTTCAAAATCATCTTTGATTTAATAAGAATATTGTTATTGACTATGAAGTCAGTTGAGATTTAATTATTTAATGATTGTTAACACAAAAAAACATGAGTAAAAAATATATTATTTCTCTTTGTAGTTTGTACCATGGAAGTTTCGGCATTACTGTTACAAGAAGAAAAATAAAATGAACAGTGACTGGATTCCATCATCTGGAAATGTAACCACATTTCATTCAAGTATAGCCTGCTTAATAAGGTAATTTTTGTTTGGTTCTAAACAGTTTTAATGAGTAACTTTACAAAAGATAATCTCCCCTAAAGTATTATTGTAGGATGCTTGCCTTCTCTTAATAATAACCATTTATTTCTTCACTATTTGATATTACATCATTAAAGGTGTGTTGTTAATTGATCTCTAAAAAAGGGTCATTTTACTTGATATATTCAATGTGGAAAATGCCTAAAGGGAATTTGATCAACCATGTTAATGCCAATCCCATGGTGTGAGATATGGATTTTTTTTTTTTTTTTTTTGCATAAAAGATGATCTCTTAATTTAGCATGCAATTTCTAGAGCCTGCCATAGACACCAGTGAATGAGATTAATATAGCTAAGTCTGACCTTCAAGGCAGAAGACACTTTTTTTCTTTTTTTGAGAATTTTTGAAATATATCTATCTATAATATAAATAGATATATTTTCAAAAATTTTAGAGTAGATAAATACAGGCCTGATGATGTATTAAAGAATTAATTCCACCCAAAAATGAAATCAATTTCCATTACCAAGTTTGGCATTGTTTCTCGGATAAATGAGAACATCTGATTCATTTGAATCTAAATCACAAAGCACTCGAAATCTATTGCCATCAAACAAATGAATAATTGAGTAATGTGAATTTGGCCATCAGTGTGATGAATGCCTCAATTTTCTTTTTTAAACAGCAGTATAGTTGCTATCCAAATACTGGTGCTGCAAGTTTGTGCAGTCAGTAGAGCATATTGTGCCATAACTTGAGAATTTTGGTGTCTCTTGGACAATTCCAGATAATCTTGTCAACAACAGTAACGAGAAGTATCTGAGCATTGCAATATCTTGCTCTTCAAACTTGTGAAACAGGAACAATCTGACCAAAGAAATACAAGTGAAATATTTGAATTTGGTTGTGAATGCTCTGCCCAGCAAAAGTGAACTGAGAAGAAATCTCATATTGATACTATTCTGTTAAAAGGAAAGTAGGTTTAGTCCAAAATCTTAAAAACAATATTCTCCTCATGAAGGTTGCCACATATGACACCAAGTCAGTTAGGATACTAGGAAATAGTTAATCTGTAAATGTATGATAAAATTTATAAAAGAAATATATTTGGTGTTAGTTTGAGTTGACATATTAAAGATTCTGAGTTATAGAAATAGAAGCAACCTGACCAAAGTAACAGTTAATGTACTCATTTTTCTTCAATAACAGCATCCATCTTGTTTTGATAATCAGCTCGTCATAAAAAAATATTGTATAATATATTCTTGAATGTTGATATGTTTCAGAACTTTTATTCCCTTCTTCAGCCAAAGATTTAAATTTTATTTAATTTTAAATGCAAAAGTACAATACAGATAATCATTTTCAAATTCTTAGTGAAAGAAAAAAAGAAGGGTTTGCACAACATATGGCTGTTATAATTCTACGAAACTGTTTTTACATCCCCAAGACTGTCATACATGATTTAACTTGTTTGGATTGCTAAAAGATAGCCTTATTTAAATTCGGATTATTTCTGGGGTTTTAGTCCACTTTCAATGAGCAGTAAAATTTAGAAGAAAAAGGGAGGTAACTCTTAACTCTTAAGTTGATAAGAGTTATCTCCTGTAAAAAAAAAAATTCAACTTTTTCCAATTTTTCATTTTCATTAAGTTTTTTTTCACTTTTCTATTTAACACTAAAAAGATTTGTTTCTTTTCTTTTTTTTTTTTTTCTTTTTTTTTTCTCATTTAAAAATCGAATTTCTGTTATGTTAACAAAATTATTTAGACTTTTGTATTTTTCTTACTATTTGACATCCCAAGAGTATGCTTCCTTGATCACTACAATCTTAACCTGTTCAAGTCTAGGGTCGAATGTTATCTTCCTCTCACATCTGCATAAGCTGTAACCCTCTACTTTGAACGATTGCATCATTGTAAAAGAAATGAAATTGTTCTGATGAACTTTCCTCTTTGGTACTTCACGACTTTACAAATTTAAGTACAGTACTACATTAATAGCTAGATTTCATGATTATTTAAAGTTAAAATTGCCAGATGTAACCATACGCTAATAGTTTCTTCCTTTGCACTTCTCGTTTATAGAATTCTGTTCCAGCTTCTTACTTTCCAGTCAAAATTTGATCTTCAAAATTTTAAATGCAATGTTAATAAGTATCTTCTGTTTCTTTGAATATTATTCTTTTATTGTCCTCTCTCCTTAAAGTTTTTATATATTTTTAGTTATATATATATATATATATATATATATATATAATTCATGTTAAAAAGATAAAAAAATTAAAAAAAAAAACAAATGAAAACTAGACAAAAGTTCATTTTCTCCAAGACATTCAATTTGTAGCTTACTGCTACCAGCAAGCAGAAATATTTCTCCTCCGATGATGGCCATTTTAGCAGAACTAGTCGAGGAATCTAAATGAAATAATACTAAAAATAACGAATATTAATTTACAACCCAGTGTGTCTGAAGATTTCAACTTTTTTTATTTTTTTTTTTTTTCAATAAAAATTATATATATATATATATATATATATATATATATATATATATATATATATATATATATATATATTTAAAAACATTCAATTTAATATTTTTAGGCATAACGAAAAAATAACCGTTTTTGCCCCTGCTCTTTCAGGTTTTTTTAATCAGGAGTATGTGCAAAGTAAAATAAAACAAATTTAAAATTATGAATGGTTAATTGATGAGAAAGACATTCTCCCTTCACATCAACTAAATTCTGTTATCTATAAATATAACTGGTTGTAGAGTCAGCTACATAGGGAGGACTACTCAATGGCTGGATGCAAGAATTAAACAGCACATACCAAGTAAAATCAGGAACCATACCCTTGATCAAAATGAACTCATCCATAATACCTACAGTTCCTCAATTTTTGAATGCCTTATTAAAACAGAAAGTGTGCTGAATTGTTTACTATTACTCAATTTTTTGTCTAAAGGTACTGGCGTCTATTTATATTGGGTCTCGCAAACCTTCTCTGTGTAAACAGCTTGATTGGTCTTGCTATGATTCGTCTTTAGTATCCCCCCCACACACGCCATTTTTTTTTTTTTTTTTTTTTTGTCCTCTCAT